CTGATACAGGCGACCTACTAGCTCGGCTGATGATCGGATGGGAGAATCAGATGTGTTATTTCTAAATGCAGTAATATGTTATTTCTAAATAATGCTAATTTCCAATATTTTTATTAAAGGATCCGCGACCTGATCACAAGATTGCAAAGTTATGGGAAAAGAATCGTTCTCATGAGAATATATATCTCTACAAGCCGAAATTTATAAACTGTGAAACTAACAATAGGGGGATTGTTTATGATGGGGTTAACAGAGGGGTGATAACTATTAATAATTCCGTTTTACCAAAGAAAGTTGAGGTAAACATGCACATCTTTATAATGATAAGTCTAAGCTATGAAATCTTTTATAATCACGACTATATTGCTCTTCATTTTATCCCTTAGAAAAGAAAATATCCTTTTGGGATGGAGCTGAAAGAAAGAAAAAAACAAGTAAATTATGATGAAAATCAGTATTCAGATTTCTCGGATTCCTCATATTAAATAGAGCCTAAGAGGGTAACATGTTTGGCTACCTTTAAACTTAATAACTGACTTTTCTACAATCTTTGATTCAGGTAAAAAGACAATCTCAAGAAGAAAGGTCCGCGGATAACATAGATGAAATTGAGGATGAACCAGGTAGTATTCATTTTATATTATATGGTGAATTATTTATTAACATTTTTTCATGATGCGGAATTAATAGCTTTGGAACAGAAGTTATCCGATTTACCTGAAGAAACAACAAAAAATGGTACAATTGATCTGAATAGCCGAAGAGAATCTACTAGCAATTCGATCACGAATGATAATTTGTTAGAGGTTCAGAAGCAAACCAATGATGACGATAATGAAGGGAATGATCATAATAATAATTCAAATATTTCTTTGGTAGCTCAGACACAAACTGAAACTGCAACCACTGATAACTATGATGATGGCAAAAAGTTCGTGTCTTCGCTAGCACCGCGCATTGAAATCGGGTTGGGAGACTTTATAAGTAACGAAGAGAGGTACTGTAATTATTTATGCTAATAACTCCTCAACAATAATTCTCACAATCGTTCAAATAGGTCGAATGATGAATTAGATGCGTACGTTAATGAAACCATCCAGGATGGAAATAAATGGATTGTGTGCGAAACCGATGTACGTGACCTCTTGATAATATGGAAACAGGAGAAACCGCGACCACGTACTGAGTAAGTAATTTATAAACAACGCTTTTATATTCGACACGTGATAAATCCGAAACACATAATGTATTATCGTTATCGAAAAATTTTAGTCTGGCATTTTATGATATTATCGATATCACTCCGGGTTCAAATAGTGATTTTGTTCAATCACTACCAAATGATGCAGTGCAAGAAATGAAACAATCAAAAACGTTTCCCACACCGAATATGGATAATGTGGATGAAATGAAAAACTATATTATTGATTTTATTAAGGTATCATTGTTTTCGTTATTTTTATGCAAATATTTTGTTGCTTTACACTTAAAATCCCATTATTTAGACAGATGAATTCCGTAATTTCGTGGACGAGAGTTATTTGAAAACACGAGTCAATAATAAAACAAAATTCGTATGGGACTATCTGAACATTCTGTAAGAATCAAGGATTGTTTTAATTTAATATGTTTCTTCGACTTTTCTCATGCTCAGTTTTTTTCTTTTTTAGCGTCGAGTCGTTTGAACGAGACAACGACCTCACAAATTACAATTTGTCCGAACTTAGATATCGCGAAATATTTTTTACCCCTCTGATCCGTAGTCTTTTCCGTTGCACCACCGGGAAATGAATATTTGTTTGTAGGTATATTGCGTTTTAAATTTTTTGATATCATTTTTTTTTTCAGCAAAATTGTAATGTACCGGATGTACCTTCCACCTAGCGGTGAGAAGTATTTGTTTTCTTCAACGGACCGTAATCGGAAAAAAAAAGATGGCGAAGATCGTAATTTTGGCCGCAAAATCGATATCAT